ATTCCTGTTACACGAGCTGTGTAATGGTAGCGCTCCGGTGCTGTCAGGTTACAGCATCGGTGCCTCTCGGCCAGGCTCTGCTCTTGACTCATGACTATTTTTAGGTCTTGCTGACCAAACCTGGTATCACATGCTCATCCCTGTTTGGTTTGAAATCGCCTATAAATACCTGTAACGAGAATCCTAAACCAGGACTAGGTTATAAAAGTGCACACGGCCCTTTGAAGCGATGCTGGCCCATTCAGAGGAGCCACATAAGAATCTCCTCTCATCCTTTACGTGGATCGTTCAGCGCTGCGAAGTTGGAAGCTTGCTGCTGTTAGCGTTTGGTGCTTGCCTCTGTCACCAGGCAAGGCTAAAGAGATGAATGGTCTCCTAGATCTCTCCCCACTCGCCATCCAGCAGTCATCTTGCTGAGCCGTTCGTTGCCATCCAGTTAAACACACAGGTCTCCTGTAGCTCGGGAAGCTCATGGATCCCACAGGCTTAGCAAGTGTGTTGGGATATGTCTGTGACTCCTCAGGCTTTTCCCGAGATGTCACAGACAGGATTTTGGGTGGATGCAGGCAGGGTGAACCTCTTTCCTGATGCAAAATGTCTGTTCTTACGGTATAAATAACTAAAACATTCCCTCTTTTTTTTGTTGTGTGCAACTAATCTACCTTCCTTGAGGGTTAGAGAGTGTTCCCTTTTAGTTTTGCCTGGGTAATCTTCTATGAAAACATCCCACATGAACTTTGATCGCAGAACGCTGCGGGTGGGGAGGGACCTCGTCCCTTGTCAAGCTGCCTGCTTGAGGCGTGTTCAGCTGGAGCAGCTTGCGTGGGACTGTGTCTGCGTCTCCAAGGATGGAGATTTCACTGCCTCTCTGGGCTGCTCTTCTAGCGTTTGACCACTGTTGTGGTGAAAGCTTTTTTCTGTATGCCAGATCAGATGTTCCCGTGTTCCAGCTTGTGTCCATTGCCTCTTGCCTTTCCACTGTGTTTTGGTGCTTGTTTGTCAGAGTGAGCGCGGGTGAGCATGTTTGTTTGGATTGAAGTGACTCCTTTGCCCCAGTGACCTTGCCAGCAGCAGCAGTGGGTTATTCTGGGCAGAGCCCTTCCAGAGCCTGTGCGCTGGGGATCACTGCCTGAAAACAAGCTTGGGGGTAGCATTTCTGCCAGAACAGCATGGGACTCTGGAGGTGTCTCCAGCCCTTATTTGCCTGCATGCTATTAAAAGGGAGGGCTGTTTGGGTGACACCCCAAACAAGGGTCATCTGAGAGGCATCCCTTGCTTCTAGGTGCTCTCCCTCGGCTTGCTGAGGCCCTCTGCCATCTCCTGTTTTCACTACACCGATGGGCTTGGGGGCTGGTGGCCACTGCTTGCCTGGGGACAGCACATTGGAGTCTGTTCCTGTGTGTTTCTGGAGGCGTGTTGCTGTGCTGTGGGCTCCTTTGTCTGTAGAGCACTCTCCCACACGGCTGCTGTGGAGCGTTTCACGTGGGCAGAGGGGTTCGGTATTTTCAGATCAGTGCGAAGGAGTTCTTGTGACTTTTTATCTTCTCCCTCCCACTAGATTATGACAAAGCGGGAGGATCTTGTTGTGGCCCCGGCTGGCGTAATGTTGAAAGAAGCAAATGAAATTCTGCAAAGGAGTAAAAAAGGTACCTGTGAACGTCTGCGTTGTGAGGGAGAGCCGTGGAAATGCTGGGCTGGGAGCAGCAGTGGGTGAATGTAGGCACGCGTCCGTGCGTGGGTGGAACGTAGGAGGGCTGCGTTCCAGCACAAGGAGAGGACAGTGAGGAGAGAGTGCCCGCAGCCCTCTGCCAGGGTACAGAGTTCACATGCGTTCATCTCAAATCTGTTTGAAGTTGAGGGTTTCTTGGCAGCCCAGGAGCTGAAGAGTGCCTGGCTGTCCAGCTGCACATCTTTGATTTTTCTATCCTGGCCTTCACATTTTGGCACTCAGTTCAGCTGTGACAGTTTGGTAGTTTGACTTTCAACACAGTGTCATGGGTCTAATTATTAAAAACGATGCACTTTTTCTGTGGTCAATGTGAGGATACTGAGTCCTTCTCCAATCCTGCAAACTCCTTGCTCTGTTTCCCGAGCCAGGGCTGCTGGCATCCCTGGCCAAGCAAGATTTAGTAACACCTCTTTGAGTCTCCACCTTGTATCAGTTGGTGCCCTCCTGATGCTCCTGGTCTGACGCACTGCTCCGGGCTAACATCTGTCTCCTGCAGAAATCTCCAGTGATGTTCTTTCTGTTTGTTTCAAGGCAAGCTGCCAATTGTTAATGAAGATGACGAGCTGGTGGCTATAATTGCCCGCACTGACCTCAAGAAGAACCGGGACTACCCTCTGGCTTCTAAGGATTCCAAGAAGCAGCTGCTCTGTGGTGCTGCTATCGGGACCCACGAAGATGACAAGTACCGGCTGGACCTCCTGGTGCAGGCTGGCGTGGATGCGGTAGTGCTGGTGAGCCACCCACAGGCATCACGTTGGCCTGCGAGGTTTGGGTGGGCTGAGGATCTGATTTGAATGAATCCCTTGACAGTGGGGCAGCAGCATGGCACTTACTGTCTTTGTTACAGGCACTTTTGTGTTAGAATATGACAATTTGTTGACCTCTCAGTCTTCTTCAGGTTGGAGTCCTCAAATAAGAGGGATTCCTCTTGCCTAGGAACTTATTCGACCGTGAGTGAGTATGTAGGGTGCATCGAAGCCCTGAAGGCTGAGAAGAGAAACGCTGTTGGTTAATACAGTCTCTTCTACAAATGCTTCTTGCAGTCTGCCGCCATCCTTTCTGATGTTCCTAACTAGTTTTGAATATTTGGCTTCTTACAGTTTCAGCTGTTCAGTGTTTGTTAGTGTTATTCTCTTAACTGCCTGATGTTCAGGAGTGGTCAGCCCAGAGCCGCTCTGCTCGTCTCCCCTTCTGGCCTATAAGCGTTTGGGCACAGCAGTCACTGCCTGTATTTGCACATTGTTTTCTCATCGATTGTTAGCTTGCGAGTCCACCGTGCTCTGAGGGCATGGCTGAGCAGCGTTGCAGCTGGAAATGTTTAACAGACACCACGAGTTGGCTGGGTCACGGGGATTGGCAGGGCCTGAGCGCTCGGTGGTCGACATCTGGTATTTCAGCTGCTCTCCTGCACAGCACAGAGGGGTGCATCCCCCCGCCAGCCCTTCTGGGTTTTACAAGGAACATTCACCATTTCACCTGTAGTTTGAGACAGGGCTGACAGTGTCCTGGTGATAGAGCCAGACGGTTCTTACCCACGGCCAGGTGTGCTGCTTGGTGCCTACTGTAGAAGCCACAGGATTTAAAAGTGAAGTGTATTACTGAAGTCTTTACGATAAACTGCTTGCACAGGGAAGGTACATTATTGTCTTGGCAGCAGCTTCTCCTCTGGTTCTGTGCTCAATTTGGGGAGTTGTTTTGCCCACTTAGCCAGCTTAGCAGAGACTCCAGTAAGCAGACTGAAGATCTGAGGCTCTTCCGGAGCTGTATTTGTAATCTTTTGCAGAAATTCTGGTTGAAATTGGTTTTCTTTCTGTTGCAGGATTCCTCTCAGGGGAACTCCATCTTCCAGATCAATATGATAAAATATATTAAGGAGAAATATCCCAACCTACAAGTTATTGGAGGAAACGGTAGGCGTGTGTTGAAGACTGTTCTTGCCTTTAAATTACATTTGTTTCTTAGACATAGAGGGAGCTGCAGGGACATGAATGAAATGGTCATCTTGGTAAATGTCTGTGAACTTAAAATGGTTTCCTCTGTCTTGTGGAAAAGAGCAAGGCCACTCTGCAGACACAGGGCAGTACCCTGCTGCTGCCACAGCTGCAAGTATTTTGAAACATTTGTTCTGCAGCACAGTGCGCTACAGTCCTCTGTAGCCCGTTACACATTAGCTTCTTTTACACACCAGTTTAAAATTTTGGATAATAATGAATATTGCTTAATGTGGAAATCTAATGGAAATTTTCCCTGCCTCTTGACAGCAGAGTTCAGCAGCTCTTGCTCTTGTCTTTACCTGGCTGGTGTATGACTGGTGCTGCTGTTAACCTGTGCTCTGCCCTCCCTGCCTGGTGCGGCCCAAAGAGTGCTTGGCTGCTACCTCAGCCTCTGGGTGTAAGCGTGTTGCAGAGTAGCCTAAAGGGCCGGTGTCATCTCACCCACTGGGGACAGCTGGGACAGAAACTCACTGCTGCTTTTGCAGAGAGGCCTGGTAGCAGGGGACAGCCAGGCCTGGCTCTGACACGGGCTGGTGCCCTGGGCAGGGGATGTTTGCGCCATGGGGGAAGCACCAGGGCAGAGCAGTGTTGCGTGCAAATCTGCTTGTCTCTCTTCAAACCAGTTTCTGCTCCCCACAGTTGTGACCGCTGCTCAGGCCAAGAACCTCATTGACGCAGGGGTTGATGCCCTGAGAGTCGGGATGGGCAGTGGCTCCATCTGCATCACGCAGGAAGGTGAGAGAGATCAGCTATCTCCTAAATAGCTGAAGACATCTGTTTAATAGAGATTCCCTGCTGAAAAGCAGCATAGCTGGGAAGGACTTCTCCTGTTGTAAGGGCAGTGTCCAACAGCAAGCCGTCTTTCACCCCCTTCGTCCAGGACGTTCTCATCACCTGGGTCAAACCTTTGGGGTGGCAGCAGCAGCAAAGGCATTTCCCAGTACTGACCGAGACTGAGTAGAGCAGGTGTGGCTTTGCCCAAGAGGAGCCGCTGGCTTGGTGTGGGATGGGGCTGGCAGGCAGCTCTGTAGGGAGAGGGGCTTACCGGATCCCCAGTGCTGACAGGTGAAGTGCACCGGGCTGTCTGCGCTCCCCTTCCCTCTGGCAGCAGTGTGCGTGATGCTTGAGTATTGGTCTGCTGGGCTCGATGCCTTTCTGCGATTTCCAGGCCGAAACGGGATTTCTGGCCGTTGTCTCTGCAGTTAGCCAGAGCTTGTGTGGGGCAGAGGCTGTGTCACCCTTAGCTAAAAGGCAGAGAGGGGCGTCCCCATGGCCTGGAGAAAGGCTGCCTTGAGCACAGGCTCAGTCCTCATGTTTTGAACCTGGCAAGTGAGGTGCAGAGAGGTAGTGCAAGGTGCTGCAGCCCACAAATACAGCCCCTCTCTGCTTTGCTCCTTGTCACGGGAGGCAGCAAGAGGGTAGCTGATGGCTGAAGGTGCTGCATTAGCTCTGCCGATTCCAGCATGGAGCCTTCGAGCAGCCCTGGACCTAGGCTGCGTTCCTGCTTTGCCTGCCATGGGAGCGCTGGCTGCGGGGGGGTTTCCCAGTCAGGGCAGTCTGTCTCGGGTGACCTTTCTAGGGAGGTTGTGGTGTCCTTGGGCTGACGCTTCCATAGCCAGAGCTATGGACACGTGTCCTACTCTGGCCCCGAGGCAGAGGACCCGCTGAGGCATGCTCCGTTCTGCAGCGTGGTGAACGTCTCCAGAGGGTGCCTCTCCCTGCCACGGGAGGTGGGGTTGGATGCTGGTTTTGGGGAAGGAACAGAGCAGAGGTAGAATGTGGCGCTTCACAGGAGACGTGGTTGCAAAACTCTTAACCGCAGCTCCCCAGGTTTTTGACCTCTTAGGGCAAGAACTCTGGCTCTTTGGGTTAGGGGGGTCACCTCTCTGGATGGCTGCTGGGGTAGGGCGAGCATGCGCTGTGCACAGCCGGGCCTGGCTGGCTTGGATCTGGCCTCCGGCTTGGCTCGGGCTAGGAAGAGTTTGCAAGGTCAGCTCTGTCCCACACCGTATGCTCTGCCTAGTAGCAGGTCACTGCTGGGGTCCTTTGTTCTGCTGCTGTTCTTCTGTCTCTAAAATGTGTGTGTTTGTTTTTGTTTAGCTGCTCCAAAGATCCCTCCAGACCTAAAGTCCCACAGCCCCAAATGCCCTTCTACTGTCACGGGCACCTATAGTAAGTCACTTGCCCTGTTCCCAACCCTAATTGTGTCTTGAAGCAGGACCCTGATTTGGCTGCACATGGCCCTACTGCTTGTTTGAGAATAATTTAGCTGTAGATGCACTTGGGGTTTTGTGGCTTTGGATACTGGTTTTTAATCTGAAATGGAAGCTGAGAAGCCTTTCTGAATTCCTAAAGCAGGGTCTGAATTGTCAAAGCTGAGGGCACTCAGGTTTGTCCACCCTTCACTCCAAAATCCAGTTCAGGAGCCTGACTCAGCTTTCTGGCTGCATCTTCTGGATCTCTAGCTGGGCATGCCCCTGCTGATCCAGTGCTGGGAGGTGATCCCCGAGCAGAACTTGATCCTGCTCTAAACCTAGCCCCAGTTGGGAAGCTGAGCACTGGCTAAGCTTCACTTGGAGCTAGCTCCCCTGGGGTTACAGGCGGACTTAACTGTGTCAGCTGCGTACCAGAACCACGTCTTTCCCCACTGACGCCTGATCCTGGTGTGGAGAGAAAGGGCTCTTCCCCTGCCCAGCACAGGGTGCAGCTTTGTCTGCTCTGTACTTCTCTGACACTGCCGGATCAAGCAGCCACCCGAGGTGAGCCTTGGGTTTTGCCTTTTCTCCTAGTTTCGATGCACCTCAAAGGGAAAGTGGTTTCTCTTGAAGATCCTGGAAGGTTTTCTCTAGCAGATGATCTTGTAGGGCCACCCTTTGCAGATACACTAAAAAAGACAAACCCTCACCCCGACCACTTGGCGTGTGTGTGCTCTGAACCCTGCTTTGGAAGCCTGCGCTCTGAAGCTGTGGCGCTGGGCACTGGGACAGTCGGAACGGTGCGATGCTCCCAGGGGCCCTGAGCCAAGCTGTTCCTTAAAGGGCTGGTCTCCATGGTCACTGTTGATGAGGTTTCTGCAGGCCCTGCATTGTCTGTAGCACAAGCCCATAGATACCGGACTCTAGACCCTCCAAAATCAGGTGCTTCTCTTCACAGAGCTCTTCCTTGCAGTGTTTTGCAGCCGCAATGTGGCCTTTAGCAGCGCGGTACCGAGCGAGACCATCTCTTTAAGACTAAAGGCATTCATGTTGTAGCTGGCAGACTCTCCCTGGCTGGCTGAGCCCTAGCTTAATGCCGAGTTTGTTCGATTAAAATCAGTTATTTCACGATCTCAGCCTGGAGTCTGGCTTCCCTCTCTCAGCAGCTGCTGCTGAGCACTGGGAGTGGAGCAACTGCAGACTCCCGGCCTCAGCAAACCTCTGCCAGGGATGTGCGCTGCCAGTGCTGCTGCCAGGCAGGCTAAACCACACCTGGAGTTCACGCTCCGAAGTACTAATCCTGCATGGCCATAATCTTACCCGGTGTATTGGACTAACCATGACTGGAGAAAAGGCTTCCAGTTAATTGTGGGGAAGTCTCCCTGAGAGAAGCTTATCTCAGCATACTTGCATGCTTGTGCCTGACAAATGTGTTACAAGACGTGCCCTGTGCTGGTTTCCCCTTGCACAATGGGCAGCTTCTAACTGCTAGTGACTGGGAAGAGCAGGTAGATCCAAAGCTAATAACTCCCTTCCCATGGGGCAGCTAAACTTGACAGAATCCTTGCTACATTGCAGGGCAGGAACATAAATTATTTCCTGTAAACCATCAAATCATCCTGCCCATTTCCTTTTCCACTGTTGCATGTGTGTTTGTGTGTGTGTGCAGAGGTATATGTATATATATAAATATATCTATACATATATATACATACCAGCTCTCTCCCAGCCAGCTGCCTTTCCATGCAAGAAGTACATCATACAGCTGCTGGGTATACAGAGAAGGGGTCTGGCACTGCTAGGAGGGAGCGAGCGGTGGGACATGGCTACGTGTCAGGGGTGCTCTGGAGAGGGGCTTTTGGAGTCTGCTCCGCTTCCTTCCCAAGCTCCCCACACGTCTGCTGTGCACCAGGATGAGCCGCGAGTCTCGGCTGATGCCAGGCATTTGGTCAAAGACCCCAGTCCCAAGGTCACCCACAGCTTTTTGGAGTCGAGGGCCGTGAGGATGTCCCAGCAGGCATCTCCTGGGCATCCGCTTCTCTTGCAACTCGGCCTAGGGAAGGAGCATCCAGGGATTTGTGCGTTCCCGAGTGCTGGAGCATGTGTGTGCTAGAAGCCTAAAGGGCCTGCTGGGGAGGGAACGCGCTGCTGCGTGGGAGCTGACCCTTTCTCTGCTCTCTCCCCACCTGTAGTGCTGGCGTGCGGCCGCCCCCAGGCCACAGCGGTGTACAAGGTGTCCGAATACGCCAGGAGATTCGGCGTCCCCGTGATTGCAGATGGAGGGATCCAGACGGTTGGGCACATCGCAAAGGCCCTCGCACTCGGGGCTTCCACAGGTAAGCAGCGCATCGGGCAGCCAGGTCGCGCATGTTGTAGGGAGTCTCCTAGGAAGGGTTTCCATATGGCATTTGATTCTGGGCATGAGGGCGTATACCTGCAGGTGGCTAGGAGCATGGAGGGTCCAGCACAGTGCCCAGGGACCCCTGAGGGTTTTTGTGGCCACAGCCTTCCTGCTGCTGACGTGCTGCTCTTGATGATCTCTTGTGGCAGTGATGATGGGCTCTCTCCTGGCTGCCACCACGGAGGCCCCAGGTGAATACTTCTTCTCGGATGGAATTAGGCTGAAGAAATACCGCGGCATGGGCTCACTAGATGCCATGGACAAGAACTTGGGCAGCCAGAACCGGTATTTCAGGTAAGAGATGGTGCTTTGGGGCAGCAGATCAAGCTTCTGGGGTTTCTCTGCTTCACATACTTCCTTGATTTGTGCTCCCATGCAGTGAGACAGACAAAATCAAAGTGGCCCAGGGGGTCTCCGGTGCAGTGCAGGACAAGGGCTCTATCCACAAGTTCATTCCGTACCTGATTGCTGGGATCCAGCATGCCTGCCAGGATATTGGTGCCAAGAGCCTGACCCAAGTCCGGTGAGTGCTTCCCCTTGCTTGTGCTCTGGTTAGGCCACAGTGCTGCCATTTGCGGTCTCTGGGTAAGCTGTACCCACGCTGTGGTGTGTTCTGCATGGTCTGACCTCACTGTAGCCCTCTTCCCTCGTCTCCAGTGGGCACTGCGTCATAGATTTGCCAGCCCCTGGGGTGCAGGAGCGTGGTCTCCTGTGGCATGTTCTGCTGTTTGGGCCTGAAATGTTGGGGTTACCTTACTCTGTCCGGCTCTTGGGAGCACAGCAAAGACCATTCTGGCCACAGCTGGAGGAACCAGCTGCTCCAGCTGAAGGTGTGCCACAGCACTGTCTTCCCTGGACTCTGGCTGAGATGACACGTGTCCTTGCCCCTCAGAGCCATGATGTACTCGGGAGAGCTGAAGTTTGAGAAGAGGACAACGTCTGCCCAGGTGGAAGGAGGGGTGCATGGCCTCCACTCGTAAGTGCTGCTGGCAGGACCCCTGTCTCCCTGGGGTGGGCATTGGGGGAGGAGTTACGTGCTGCCGTCCTGTGCCTCAGCTGGCAAGGCAGCACGCTGCTGGCTTCACCTCCTGCTGCGCAGCTGGGCTGAGCCGCAGCCTGTCACCTGGCCTGGGCCACCGCTCCTCTCGCAGCAGGGCAGAGCTGCTCACTGCCCGAGTGCCGGGGCTCTTCCTCACCATGGGCCGGCGGGCCAGGAGCTATTCCTAACTCTGCTTTTGGTCCTTGCCCTGGTCAGGCGGGTCAGTAAAAGGGCTCTCCAGTTTGCTGCTCCCCTCACAGGTATGAGAAGCGCCTCTTCTGAAGGAGGTCCGTCTGTGTGTCATCGTGCCACTCAGCTCTGTGCCACCCCACGCAGGAGCTGCTCTTGCTGCAGAAGTGCCATTACGCTGGGCTGCCTGGAGCTCCCTGTGTCCCTTGGCTGCTTCATCACCACCTGAGAGGGTCCACCCGCCACCCAGGATCCTGGGCTGGCGCCTGGAGCCTTGCACGCCTTGTCCGTGTTTTACAATAAAAGAGGAAAAGATGTGCAATTGGTGTCAGCCCGGAGCCCCTCTTCCTTCTGTACTGCCCTTGTTCTCCTTCCCTGGTGTGCTCCTTCGCTTCCTGCACCCTCTCAGGAGCAGCTGATGGCCCCAGAAGGGACACTGCATGTGAGGGGGAATGGGGAGGGGACAGCCCCTTGACAGGACTGCGTGGATAATGCAGTGTGGCGTGTTTAAAAAAAAAAGCCAGCCTTCCTGAGAGCAGAAAACAAGTGGCTCCTGGGCAAGAAAGTACATCCACACAGACACCCCTGGAAATGCTCTGTGCCGCAGCTGCTTACACACACCAGGCCCTTGTACCTGTATCTTCCCATGCTTGGTCCTCACC